GTGATGAGAAAAAGGATGATGACTAAGGAATCAAACCAAGCAGGAAGAAGCAAATTAATGAATGATGAGGAAACCACAGTAATAAATAGACAAGTAGGGCGCAATGTCATTAAATAATGCAGAAAATTAATAAAAAATGGATTTTGATGAGTAATGCAGATGGCCTCCCTGTGAAGATGATTGGCTCAGTTTTATTGTTGGACCTTTGGAACAAAGGTTTTAGTCTGAAGTGGTAAATGGTGATGTCTCAAAATCACCATTTTAAAACTTCCCTTAGCGTCAAAATTTCCTCTGTAATCACTGTTTGCAAGTTAATGGCTTGATGTTTAAACGAGACATAGAGGCCAGAAAGGTGAATTCTTCAGTTGATATTTGAAATGCAAGGGCTTTATGACTGGTTTGTTCCTGTATTCATTTTTCGACCTTTACAAAATCTTAAGACAGTGTTCTCTAAGTCATCATCAGGGCTGTCACTAAGATTTCAAGTTGCTGGGTAAATACAACAAGTAGGCAGGGAGTCCAACAGCTAGGAATAATATTTCTTTTGGTTTTATTTTTCTTCTATTTTCTTATGAAAGTAGCTGGGGACCATATTCATAGTAGCCCGGGGAAATCCCTGGACCCCAGGTCTTAATGACAGCCCTGACACTAATTGATTGTAGTGTACTATAACATCTCTTTTGAGTGATTTTCTGAAGATCCCATTTCAATACTCTAGACATTGTGGTTGTATTTTAACTTCGTGTTCAGCTGATTTATGTATCTACCATAATTAATATGAATTCAGCTGTTATGAGATAACTTGCTATTGACTGTGGAGTCGACATTGTTTGGACGTAATAGTAGAATGATATGACAAGGAATAGATAAAAAGAGCACAATATTTTAATACTAAATTATAAGGTTTTAAATAAAGCAGTGTTCACTAGGTATTTAAAATTAATAATTGAGTAGTGGTTGCACAGTACAACTTTTTTCCTCACAAACTTGTCACGAAAAAGAAGAAGAAACAAAGCCAAGCAAGGAATTGACTCGCATACCATACATCTTTCGCTAGAATTCATCATACTCATTCCAGTTTACGTAACATGTAACAATGGTATCCTCCTCTTCCCAAGCGTTAATAGTGGCTGAAAAAGTCTCTCTATTTTAATGACCCTTGTGCACATTTATGTCAGACGAGCAAATTTCACCACCAAGCCTCGTTTTGAAGATGAAAAGCTGCCAAGTTTTGCATTATAATGAATTTCCAAGGTAGAAACTGTTGAAAAGAATATTCAGTCCCAAAGAGTGCAAATGTGAAGAGATTTGCTCACGAACGCGGCTTGGTGGTGAAATTTGCCCATTTGATGTAATCATGCATAAGGGTCATTTAGGGGTTTATAAATAAATTTTATTGTTTAGTTTGACATTACATTATTCCTTAATTTTGTGAACTAGATGTTGTTTTGGGGAACTGTAATTTGTTTGTTGTTGGGTAGTGGTAAAATGTTGTAAATTAAATAGACATTGTGTTGCTCACAGTAGTAGTGTGTTCTTACTGTCATTTTTGATTATTTAACACTTTAACCTGGTTTCCATGCATTCATTGCCATGGCAGAAAAAAAAAGAATTGGTGATCGCAGCAAACATCAGAAAACAACTCTTAACAATTATTGCGATGATCACTGAGATAAGGATGGTTTTCATATGATCATTAAAAATTGTTCAGTGATCACTGTGCTCATATTAAAACGAGGTTAAAAATCTCCAACATTTGATTCAGAGTGTGTGTATGCAAGACAGCCTAATGTGTATGTTTAAACAAGTGAAAGAATAACGAATAACTTTTGTTATGGACGTGAAATTGTTCAGTGACTTCCTTAAGATTATTTTTAAAAAAGTAAATTGAATTATTTCTTTAGATCGGTTTCAATTAGCCTTATTATTATTTCTTTTCAATTTTATAAATATTTTATCATCTATCATTTTCGTGTTTTATTGTATTTTATTGTTCATTGCATTCTTACCTTTTAAACTATTTTTAAACCATTTGCAATTTTTATTTCTAACTCACACTTGTAAATGACCTTGGAGAGGTCGAAATGTTGTGACTTTCTTTCACTAATTTTTATCACCAAAAATATATCCAAGAAATTTCTCATCTACATTAAAAAAAGAAACAAAACATAAACTATCATCAAGAAGTATAAAGAAAACGTTATTTGCTTAATGACAGAAAATAACTGTACAAACAAAATTGTCCTTGCATGGAGGCCAAACAAGAAACTCAAAAAGATGCATGTATGATTATTTTCTAAGAACACACCATTGTGTACAAATTATTACTTTCTATCTCATCAGCTACAAAAATGTAATTTTTAATTGTTACAATATTGTCTCCCTCAGCATCTTTTCAGGAGTGTTCTCCTTGCAATTAATTGAGTTCTTTCTAGTTATTTAAATTATAAAAGTGAGAATCTCCTTAACTGTCTAAATTCAATATTTTATGAGCACATATTTTTTTACATAAAAAAAATACAGTTACCTTAAGTACTGCCAATGAAAGAGGTTGTCGAATGTTCAGACTGAAACCATCACGCATGAAAAGCATTACACACTCTTTTCCTCCAAAAGTTATGTAAAGACATTAGGTACAATCAGCTTACTGTTGCCTCTGTGAATAAGTCTACGATGTGACCTTTCAAATGAAAACTCTTCAGCAGTACTCATTTTTCTGGTCATTTTTGAATTTCTGACCTCAAAAATTTAGATATAAATGGGGTATTAAAACAGTATATTATACTGGCAGCTCTCTCTCTCTCAATATTGATGGCTTCCTAAAGCCCCGTGCAAATGGGCAAACCATTGTTGGCCAACAACTACCAACATTGTTGAATGTTGGATCCATTTGCACACCCTGTTGCATGTTCCCTGTTGTTGAGAGTTGTTGCGCAAAGTTTGAAACCGGTCAAACTTTTAGACCCATACAAACGGACGCAACATTGTAGGGAGTTGTTGTGTCCATTTGCATAAAGCTTAAAAGGAAAACCTAGAGTTGACACCTGTTGTTACAAGTTCAGTTATATTGTTTGACCCTCTTAGAGCTGGACACTTTAAGACAGACTCTTGGTACTGCTCTCAGTAGTAGGGAGATTACAGCAGTGAGAATGCCCTAAATAAACGGGCCCTGTAACCTGCCAGGATTGTCTCCTGCTGCAATTTTAAATTATGATAAATATGACAATCCTCTTATCAAAAAGGATGTACACTAAATAGAACTTTGCTGTCAAAGCAAAATGAATGCCATCTTACTTATAAGTCATCAGACATGCATTGCAAAAGAGACTAGGATGTCAGTTATGATGAGAACTACATTTGTATAACTGTTCTGTGTTATTGACTTGCTTCACTGTTGATCTTTATCCACTTTTCTGTTACTTCCCTCAAAGTATCCATTACTTCTTTTGGTTTATCGCTTTTGACCACAGCACTACCAGATACAATCATGTTGGCTCCAGCCTAACAAACAAAGAAAGTTTAAAGTAGGTTAGGATATGACGAACATTTTTACCCATTAAAAATACATGACTGTATATCTCATGGCTAACTTATCAAAACATGCAAACACTGACCAAATTTGGAAGATTCATGGCATTTTTTTGTCCAATAATAGAGCTAGAAGAGAATTGAACTGTAAGTTTGTTGTCTGAACAGTTTGCTGTAGATCATTTTCATTTTGTGAATAATCCATATGTTAACATGTCCACATGATATTGCTGTGTCATTCTTGTTGTGCCTGTGCAATGATCAATTCTAGCTAATTAACTCATTCCCCACTGAGCAAGCTATCCATTTCAAGGCGTGAGCAAGGTGATCCTTGAGTGAATCCACAAGAAAGGGGCTTTCCCAGCACCTCTCTCATGCGTTTCCTTTCTGTGCTGCTTGTGCATAGCCTGCGTCACAGACAGTCTGGGCCTCAAGTGACAAGTCTGGCTGCAATGCAGGCTACTTGTGCATGGCCTTTCAGAATATTCCTCAAATGGAGAGTTTCCTTGAAGACAACGAAGTTAGATGTGATCACACTCACATATAGATTGATACCTGAGCTGCTGTTTCTATTGTTTGGATTCCTACTCCTCCATCAACTTCAATATCCAATACTTTGTACTTTGTTCTTAGATGTTTAACCTAGAAAAAAATATGAAAAAAACATAATTTTTTTAGTCACATCGGCCATTTTGATAATATTGTGCAATTTATGGCAGAAATGTGTTTTTAACACTCTTACCATCTATCAGGGCCGGGTTCAAAGCTGAGTGAAGGTCACCCAGGGTTAGGCAAAATTTAAATTCCAATATGAAAGCCGAACAACCAAATTTAGTTTAATTATATTTTCTTGCCTACACTTCGATGGTTGGATGCTCTAAAATTAGACCATATGTCTTCCTCAGACTAAAAACAAAATGGGAGTTGAACAGTTGTTTCCAAGATGGTTTTTCTAAACTAAGGGAGAGAAGACGCATGGTAAAAGACAGGCTTCTCCACTAGAAAATGTAACAAAGAAGAAGAAGGAGAAGGAGAAAAACATTACGCAGGATGCAACTGATGAGATTGAAAGGCAGGATCACAGCTCTGTGTGGGGGAGTAGGTATGAGAGGGGGGCTCCCCCCTTTCATTAGGGGAGTCTGGAGGCCTTCCCTGCAAAAATGCACTCTTGGGTGCCTGAAAAGTGCATTTCAATACACTTTAAGCAACAATGGAAAGAAATTTTAGCCATTGAGGGTGGCACCTTTATTTACCTACATGTACATTTGCTTTATTTACACAGTCGAATCCCTATTAAGCGGCCACCCTCGAGGAAATGAAAAGTGGCCCTTTTATAGGGGTTAGCTGCTTAATAAGGGTTTGTAAGGAGTTGGTCTGAAAGTTACTGAAACGTCAATTTATTCAAATGTAAGCATGCTTAATAGCCTGCGAAAACATCCGTTTCTCCTCGCTCTTCGCCGCTAGGGATGTTTCGCGCGGAGGAACGTCTGCGACTCAGCGACAGAAATTCCATACTGATGACGTAAAATCTGTTCGGAATCCGGTCAGAAGCGCTGATTGGTCGACGGAGTAGTTACATTGTTTAAGCTATTGTTTACAAATGACAGACAAAAGACAAAAGGCCACAAAGGTCAAATGTAAAAACGAAGAATCTCTAACAAAACAGTCAATATTTGTGGAATATAGTCTTCTCTAGAAGAAGCATTTAAGTTTTGCTGGACCTCGTTGGCAGATAAGCACAACACTTTACCAAAATCAACCAGAAGACACGTAAAATTAGACAAATTTATATTTGGAACCCCATGACTACCGGATTTATTATGTAAACATTGATTTGCGTCATCAGTATGGAATTTCTGTCGCTGAGTCGCAGACGCTCCTTCGCGCGAAGCGTCCCCAGCGGCAAAGAGCAAGGAGAAACAGATGTTTTCGCAGGCTACATGCTTAAAGGCTTTTATAATCTGTTGCACATGATAAAATGTATAAAAATGGCACAAAAATAAACCAGGTAACATAAACCTGGTAAAGTTATACAATGCATTTATATTTTCAGTATTTTTACAGTCAGGTTTAATTGCTTAGTAAACATGTAATAACGTAAAGAGAACAATAAACGTGTGTCTAAAATGTGCTTATCAGTTGTCACTTTTGATTTCGGATTCTTATCTGTTATCGCCTTCTCAAAAACAAAGCCAAACCAGCCGTATTTAATTTTGGGTAGTCGCTTAATAGAGGTAAAAAACAATAGAAAACAGCACAACCAAAAGGTGGCTGCGGTTGGTCAATAGGGGTGGCTGCTTAATAGGGGTTTCATTTATGGTATTTAACTGAAAATAATTTCAGGATTTTAATAACTGGCCGCTTAATAAGGGGTGGCCGCATAATAGGTGGCTGCTTTATAGAGGTTCGACTGTCAGTCTGCATTAATCAACCAAACATGTTGAAGAAAAAATAAAATACAATGGCGGTCCACCAAAAAATATTTTCTGCTAGTGGCCTGGCTCATTAATAAGAAACAACCTTTGATCAAATATATGTACATATAATTATTTACCTTTGGCATCATATTTGCCATGAATTTCTGTCCTCCAAATCCTGGTTCTACAGTCATAATAAGAACCATATCAACCAGGTCGACAAATGGCAGTACAGACTCCACAGGTGTGTTTGGTTTTACTCCCACACCCACCTTCATTCCAGCTTTCTTTATCTGTTGGATCAGCTCTAGAGGCCTGTCTGATTGAAGTAAAAACAATGCACTCAAAAGCTAGAGTACATTTTATTGTGCATCTCATAATTAAAACTTTAATTAAGTGCAAAAGTTTCTTATGACAGTGAAAATTATAAGCAAAGCTTAGTCCAGTCATAACATCATCATCCAAACATGTCTTGGTCTTCGTTTTCTTTGTACCCTGATCAATCTGTTCTCAGGTTAAACCACAATTTCCTGGTTTCACTTGAAAACAGATTTTATGTTTATCACAGAAATTGTATACTCATGTGCATTAAACTAATGCCATCAGCATACATGTCATCATGACTGGGACAAAGCTTACAGTAGATCCTCAGCGGCATATTGTGAGAGTTTGAAGCTGTAAGCATGGGAAGAAAAGTTAGACCGCTGAAAGCACTCCAGACTAGGGGGACCTGGGGGCATGCTCCCCTAGAAAATGTTTTACATTTGGGGGTTTGGAAATGTCATTTCCTGGGTTTTCTGCACGACATGTTCATTAAATAAGTATGAAGGGAAATGGAATAGTTAGTTGTTTATTCTATCGATTTCTAGTGTTATCGGTAAAGGTACAGTTAGCTGACAGTGTTAATGGAAAAAAGGGGTAAAAAGTGACATCATCAAGGAGGTTACAAGCAAAGGGCAAGATGTGTACCTTTTAGGCAGGCAAAGAACCAATATAATGCAAAACATTTACAAGTCCAGACATCTTGATTTAGTGATAAAAATGCTTTCAGGAAACAAAAAGAATTTCTTTTTCCAGATATCAGTTGTACTCACAGGCATATGTGCATATATGGACATATATATCATTTAAAGAAGAAAAAAATCACAAAGGTATCAGGTACTTTATTGAGGGTTACAGTGTTATCACTATAACAAAGATCAGCAAGAGGTCTGCAGGACAACATTGCTCAGCTTATGCATCGCGTAGTTGTACGTTCAGCAGCAGCTGAACCGAAGCATGCAGAAACACTGCATCTTTTGGATAATTATCTTATTTCTGAGATATACACCTACTTTGGCCCCGGTAACAATGCTGTGATGTCTTCCATTCTGCGCATACTTCCAGCCTTACTAATTTTGCTAGTGAAGGAATATCTGCGCAAGCTGCTTTGTAAATGGCCTCCCATCAACCCAGGTTTTTGACTTAACGCAGTTAAAGACCTTCCTTCAGTAGTGCAGTGGAGGTCTTGGCACAAAGTGACCGTGAATTCTATCAACTGAAACGAAGACAAGTTGAAGCGTATTTTTTGTACGTCGCCAATTACACTAGCGGAATGCGAGTGATTGTTCAGAACATTGTGCTGACTGAAAACATACTCAAGAGCGCCTATGTCCAGCGAGTGAAAGTCTGGACTTGCTTTGTTCTTTCCCCTCCCCTCGTCTCACCTGCTGCGCTCAGCTCTTAAAGCACCTGTCGTGCAGGCTGCTTTAATAAACATCTGTTGCAGTGGGCAAATTGACGTTAGTTCAGCAATAATCAACATTTTTTGCACGGAGGCGCCTCCTTCTTGCTTATATGCTAGCTGAGTGAGCAGATTATCACAAGACCACAGTGTTTGATAAAGTATATAATCAGGAGCTCCTGGTGTAATGTATTCAGCAACAACTATTGACTGATGTCCTTTTGACCATTTCTTCAGGAAGCGTATTTTTAATCCCCTCTCAGAAATATTAGCTAAATTTGGCACTGACATTAAATATTAAACATGTTTGGCCAAAATAAATGCAGCCTCGCCTAATACCTTTCACAACAATACCACCTTAGGAACCCCTGTATGCTGGCAAAATTACTGGCTATGTACGCCCCTGTACTAGGTTGAAATCCTGTGTCAACGCCATATGTGGATTGCTTTTGTTGTTGGTTTTCTCCTTTGCTCCACAAGGTTTTTCTCAGGGAACTCCATTTTTCTCCCTCTCCGCAAAAACCAACATTTCCAAATTACAATTCAACCAGAAATCAGGTAGATGAAGAACCACGTACTGTATGGATGTGCTACCTCTAAATCATTATTGACTGATTGATTGATTGATTGATATTTATTTACTTATTACATGTACCTGTTGCTTCAATATGAAAAGTGTATTGGTCAGCACCTGCATCAGCCATGTCATCTACCCACTTGAAAGCAAACAATTATGGCAAATTGAAAAAAGAAAAGAGACATTAATTCAAATTATAACAACTAAATATTCATTTATCATTAATCTTTTCACTACAAACTATACAGGATAGGTTGTTGACAACTAGGTGGCAAACTTGTGGGAGGCCAGATAGCTACACGGCGAAATCAATGGGTTGTGATACTAATGGTTCATTTACAAGTACTTCATTACCGATAGTTGAGTGCGATTACCTTTTCAGGATTTGCCACCATCATGTGCATATCTGAACGGGAAAAAAACAAGACAAATTATTCCTAAATCTAAAACATAATAAATTAAAAACAAGGAATATTTAAATATGAAATAGCCAAAGAAGCAAAAAATGTATATCTTGTAAAATAAAAAATTATTGAATCTTCACTGTACCCACACCTTTACCCCTAATCGTTGAGCTCTCAAATTTTGCCCACCTAACCCCCACCACTTTAGCTAAAATGAGTAGGATAAAGATTGTTTTCCTTACTCACCAAAAAAAGCACTTGGCACTTTTTTCCTTAAGCACTTGACTAATGGCGCCCCAAACGTCAAATTTGGTACAAAATGGCTGTAAAAATATTAAGTTTAATAAGCTTAATATCTAAAACAACATACTTTATCCAGGCTGAAAACTGAAGTCCTTGATTATTTGTGCCACCTAGAGACCACCTGCTGTTTAATTGATGATTTTAAACCAAGTTATATCAATGACTTTCTTTTACCAATTATTATCATGGGTTACCTCAACTGCAATCTTATTAAACCTTCCTACCCAGAAGCTAAAGCCTTTAATGATATTTGCAATGAACTCAAACTGACACAAATGATAACAAATTATTAACAAACCTAAAAGTTGAGTCACTGCGGAAACGGAATCTCTTATTGATATCATCATGGTTTCCTCCCCTGATCTAATTAAGGAAAGTAGTCTATTGCACTTTGAAATTGAAAACACCTAGACCTCCTCCTACCCTCATAGAAGTAAGGAGTCATAAACATTACAACCCTGTGTCATTCTCTGATGACTTGTCGCACCTTCTGCTTCATTATAATATTGCCTCAATTGATGATGTTAATGGAAAACTCAACCTTTTTAATGACTTGTTTTGCTCTACACTTGATGTTCACGCCCCAAATAGATCTATCAAATTAAAACGTCAACCACATCATTTAATCGATGATGATATAAAACAGCTTGTGTAGAGCAGAGATCATAAGGTAAAAAATTTTAAGCAGACTTGTAACCCTCGTGATTGGGAACCTTTCAAGGAGTTAAGAAATATGGTGAAATGCAAGTTAAGGAAGGCAGAATCAAACTACTACCACACCTAAATTTACAACAACTGAAGAATCGTAAGAACTATGTGGAAGACAATCAGAAAGTGTTTCCCATCCAAAGATTCCACTAGACTTCCTTGTCGTAGAGACCCTAACCTCTTAGCTGAAGAATTCAATGCCTTCTTTACCTCAGTCGGAAGCAATACCGCTGATAAGGTCAAGCAACTTGCAAATGATTATCTAATGGTATTCAACTTGCATCACCAGCCTTTCCTATTACCTCTCACTAACCTGGTGGAAACTTTGAATTTAATCTCATTACAGTGGAAGAAAATCAAATAAAGCTCCCGGACTGGACAAAATCAGTATATAGTATTAAAAGATTCCCCAAATAATGTTGTTAAGGCACTTACTGACATTATCAACTGTTCATTTTACATCAAATTTTCCCACTGCTTGGAACTTGGCTGAGGTAGTACCACTCCTTAATGAAGGAGATCACTAAATGGCATCAAACAACTGTCTGTTGTCACTCCTCGTGGTTTTTCACAGATATGCAAGAAAGTAGTCCTGGCTCAGTTTATGTCTTACCTCTACAAGAGCAAGCTATTATCCAGCCACCAGAGCAGAAATCGTAAATTTCACTCCACAGAAACAATCAACATTGCCATTATCGACTTCCTCTTCAAAGCCATGGACTGAGTGACTAAAGAGATTTCTATCCTTACCAATCTAACTGATCATAATATGTGTGGATGAGTACTGTTACTTCATCAACACTGCCATTAACACATAGAATACCCAAAGGCTTTATTTTGTCACCTCTTTGGTTTACAATCTACACCAATGATTTACCATTTACTCCAAAGATCTGCAAATTGGAGTCTTATGCAGATGACTCTTAAATCTTTATTTCCTTTCCTTTTGTACATGTTGGAACTGATTTGCTGAAAATTGCTTAATGGTGTTTTCAAAATTGTCTTCTGATTAATCCCAACAACTAGACAAAATTGCTTTTGTTAGGAACTCATCAACTTCTTTAACAGTTAACAACAATCCCTAGTTTTGACTCTCTTGGTGAACAGCTACTGCCCCTCCAGATTTAGGTTTGGTTGTGGACTTTTATCTTACCTTTAATGAGCATACATGTATACAACAGTTATTAGCTTCCTGCACAGCCAAGTTGTGCCAGATAAACCATATTAAACATGTATTCAATCACAAAACTTTGTCAATTATTATTAATGCATGGGTGATTATCAAGACTGATTACTGCTCTGCTATTTGGTCTAGTACTTTTGAAAACAATATCAAGAAAATACAACTTGTTCAGAATTTTGCCACTAGAATTATTACTGGGAGGAGAAAGTTTGATCGCAATTCTCTGCCTTAATGTGAACAAGTGAATTGAAATGGCTCCCCATTAAAGAATGTCTTCTTTTCAAAAACGCATTATTAACATTCAAATGCCATAATGGTTTGCCACCTCACTACTTATGTGAGAAATTTATCAAAATAAGTCAGTTACACAGTCGTCCCACCAGAAACAGTACGGACATAAACAGCCCCAAGTATCGTACTGCATGCGGTCAAAGAGCTTTTTCATTTTTCATACAGAGCAGTTTGGAACTCCTTAGATAAATCACTTTAAAACATCATGAATTTTAACATTTTTAAGAGATCCCAAGGAATATTAGGGGTGCCGAATGGTACCTCGAAAAACGTGGGTCTCGGAAAATTTTGGCAGGATCTCGAAATCTCGGAAGCGTTTTTGATAAGTCTCGAAGTCTCGTTTTTTCATGGTTTGTTTTTACTTTTTTGAGTCTCGAAAATTTCACCAAAGGGTCTCGGGCTCGGATTTCTAACTAGGATCTCGGCGACTCGGCGAGTCTCGGATTTTACCATTCGCCACCCCTAATATTTGTCATAGTAATTTCTTTTTAATTAATTTTGTGTTTTTATTACTATTTCAATTTTTCTTTCCCTTTCCAAGACATGTAAATTAACACAGAATAGTCCGCATGGGAATGTTAATAAGTTTATGTATGTTTATCTGTTAGCTTATGTTTTACCAATGTCCGGAGCATATGAGAGTTACATTGAGCGGTCTCTGAAATACACTCAAATCAAGTTCAAGAATTTATATATTTTTTTCATTATACTTTTCTTACCCATCCATTACATCCAGATGCAAGTAGTCTGCTCCGCATTCAAGCAACTTGTTGCATTCTTCAGCTAAGCAGGACAGATCAGCGTTGAGAATGGAAGGACCGATCATACACTTGCAACAGCCACTGGAGGCCATGTTGGACGACTGTACAATGTATGTTACATATACCAAATAACACATGTTACGAAAGCCGCTGACCAGGCCTGGCCGCTGACAGTCCAAAACCACGGTTATTCTTTCATGTTACGCTTACGCCAAATAGACCTAGTGTTTCATATAATAGTAATAGAATGTCCATACTCATGTATACCCTGTATGCCCTGTATACCCATCTATACCTTGTATACCCTGTATACCCAGTATACCTTGTATACCCATGTATACCTTGTATACCCTGTATACCCATGTATACCTTGTATACCCATGTATACCTTGTATACCCTGTATACCTATGTATACCCTGTATACCCTGTATACCCTGTATACCCATGTATACCTTGTATACCCTGTATACCCATGTATACCCTGTATACCCCATATTCCCATGTATACCCTGTATACATGGGATATACCCAGTATACCTTGTATACCCTGTATACCTATGTATACCCTGTATACCCTGTATACCCTGTATACCCTGTATACCCATGTATACCTTGTATACCCTGTATACCCATGTATACCCCATATTCCCATGTATACCCTGTATACCCGGTATACCTTGTATACCCATGTATACCTTGTTTTCCCTGTACACCCATGTATACCTTGTATACCCATGTATACCTTGTATACCCTGTATACCTATGTATACCCTGTATACCCTGTATACCCATGTATACCCTGTATACCCGGTATACCTTGTATACCCATGTATACCTTGTATACCCTGTATACCCGGTATACCTTGTATACCCATGTATACCTTGTATATCCTGTATACCCATGTATACCTTGTATACCCATGTATACCTTGTATACCCTGTATACCCATGTATACCCTGCATACCCATATACTCCCTGTATATCCATGTACCCCCTATATACCCTGTATACCCATGTGTACCTTGTATACCTATGTATACCCTGTTTACCCTGTATACCCTGTATACCCTGTATACCCATGTATACCTTGTATACCCTGTATACCCATGTATACCCTGTATACCCAGTATACCTTGTATACCCTGTATACCCATATATACCCTGTATACCCATGGATACCCTGTATACCCGGTATACCTTGTATACCCATGTATACCTTGTATACCCTGTATACCCGGTATACCTTGTATACCCATGTATACCTTGTATACCCTGCATACCCATGTATACCTTGTATACCCATGTATACCTTGTATACCCTGTATACCCATGTGTACCCTGTATACCTATGTATACCCTGTTTACCCTGTATACCCTGTATACCCTGTATACCCATGTATACCTTGTATACCATGTATACCCATGTATACCCTGTATACCCCGTATTCCCATGTATACCCTGTATACCTGGTATACCTTGTATACCCTGTATACCCATGTATACCTTGTATACCCTGTATACCCGGTATACCTTGTATACCGATGTATACCTTGTATACCCTGTATACCTATGTATACCCTGTATACCCTGTATACCCATGTATACCTTGTATGTATACTCTGTATACCCATATATAGCCTGTATACCCATGTATACCCTGTATACCCGGTATACCTTGTATACCCATGTATACCTTGTATACCCTGTTCGAATGGTACCTCGAAAAACGTGGGTCTCGGAAAATTTTGGCAGGATCTCGAAATCTCGGAAGCGTTTTTGATAAGTCTCGAAGTCTCGTTTTTTCATGGTTTGTTTTTACTTTTTTGAGTCTCGAAAATTTCACCAAAGGGTCTCGGGCTCGGATTTCTAACTAGGATCTCGGCGACTCGGCGAGTCTCGGATTTTACCATTCGCCACCCCTAATATTTGTCATAGTAATTTCTTTTTAATTAATTTTGTGTTTTTATTACTATTTCAATTTTTCTTTCCCTTTCCAAGACATGTAAATTAACACAGAATAGTCCGCATGGGAATGTTAATAAGTTTATGTATGTTTATCTGTTAGCTTATGTTTTACCAATGTCCGGAGCATATGAGAGTTACATTGAGCGGTCTCTGAAATACACTCAAATCAAGTTCAAGAATTTATATATTTTTTTCATTATACTTTTCTTACCCATCCATTACATCCAGATGCAAGTAGTCTGCTCCGCATTCAAGCAACTTGTTGCATTCTTCAGCTAAGCAGGACAGATCAGCGTTGAGAATGGAAGGACCGATCATACACTTGCAACAGCCACTGGAGGCCATGTTGGACGACTGTACAATGTATGTTACATATACCAAATAACACATGTTACGAAAGCCGCTGACCAGGCCTGGCCGCTGACAGTCCAAAACCACGGTTATTCTTTCATGTTACGCTTACGCCAAATAGACCTAGTGTTTCATATAATAGTAATAGAATGTCCATACTCATGTATACCCTGTATGCCCTGTATACCCATCTATACCTTGTATACCCTGTATACCCAGTATACCTTGTATACCCATGTATACCTTGTATACCCTGTATACCCATGTATACCTTGTATACCCATGTATACCTTGTATACCCTGTATACCTATGTATACCCTGTATACCCTGTATACCCTGTATACCCATGTATACCTTGTATACCCTGTATACCCATGTATACCCTGTATACCCCATATTCCCATGTATACCCTGTATACATGGGATATACCCAGTATACCTTGTATACCCTGTATACCTATGTATACCCTGTATACCCTGTATACCCTGTATACCCTGTATACCCATGTATACCTTGTATACCCTGTATACCCATGTATACCCCATATTCCCATGTATACCCTGTATACCCGGTATACCTTGTATACCCACGTATACCTTGTATACCCTGTATACCCGGTATACCTTGTATACCCATGTATACCTTGTATACCCTGTATACCCATGTATACCCATGTATACCTTGTATACCCTGTATACCCTGTATGCCCTGTATACCCATGTATACCTTGTATACCCGTGTATACCCTGTATACCCATGTATACCCATGTATACCCAGTATACCCTGTATAACCCTGTATACCCTGTATACCCATGTATACCCTGTATACCCTGTATACCCATGTATACCCTGTATACCCTGTATACCCATGTATACCCTGTATACCCTGTATACCCATGTATACCCTGTATACCCTGTATACCCATGTATACCCTGTATACCCTGTATACCCATGTATACCCTGTATACCCTGTATACCCATGTATACCCTGTATACCCTGTATACCCATGTATACCCTGTATACCCTGTATACCCATGTATACCCTGTATACCCTGTATACCCATGTATACCCTGTATACCCTGTATACCCATGTATACCCTGTATACCCTGTATACCCATGTATACCCTGTATACCCTGTATACCCATGTATACCCTGTATACCCTGTATACCCATGTATACCCTGTATACCCTGTATACCCATGTATACCCTGTATACCCTGTATACCCATGTATACCCTGTATACCCTGTATACCCATGTATACCCTGTATACCCTGTATACCCATGTATACCCTGTATACCCTGTATACCCATGTATACCCTGTATACCCTGTATACCCATGTATACCCTGTATACCCTGTATACCCATGTATACCCTGTATACCCTGTATACCCATGTATACCCTGTATACCCTGTATACCCATGTATACCCTGTATACCCTGTATACCCATGTATACCCTGTATACCCTGTATACCCATGTATACCCTGTATACCCTGTATACCCATGTATACCCTGTATACCCTGTATACCCATGTATACCCTGTATACCCTGTATACCCATGTATACCCTGTATACCCTGTATACCTTGTATACCCTGTATACCCATGTATACCCTGTATACCCTGTATACCTTGTATACCCTGTATACCCATGTATACCCTGTATACCCTGTATACCCATGTATACCTTGTATACCCTGTATACCCATGTATACCTTGTATACCCTGCATACCCCTGTATACCTTGTATACCCATGTATACCTTGTATACCCTGCATACCCATGTATACCTTGTATACCCATGTATACCTTGTATACCCTGTATACCCATGTGTACCCTGTATACCTATGTATACCCTGTTTACCCTGTATACCCTGTATACCCTGTATACCCATGTATACCTTGTATACCATGTATACCCATGTATACCCTGTATACCCCGTATTCCCATGTATACCCTGTATACCTGGTATACCTTGTATACCCTGTATACCCATGTATACCTTGTATACCCTGTATACCCGGTATACCTTGTATACCGATGTATACCTTGTATACCCTGTATACCTATGTATACCCTGTATACCCTGTATACCCATGTATACCTTGTATGTATACTCTGTATACCCATATATAGCCTGTATACCCATGTATACCCTGTATACCCGGTATACCTTGTATACCCATGTATACCTTGTATACCCTGTATATCCATATATACCCTGTATACTCATGTATACCCACGTATACCCACGTATACCCAGTATACCCTGTATACCCATGTATACTTTGTATACCCATGTATACCTTGTATACCCTGTATACCCTGTATACCCATGTATACCCTGTATACCCATGTATACCCTGTATTCCCATGTTTACCCTGTATACCCAGTATACCTTGTATACCCTGTATACCCAGTATACCTTGTATACCCTGTATACCCATGTATACCTTGTATACCCTGTATACCCATGTATACCTTCTATACCCATGTATACCTTGTATACCCTGTATACCCTTTATACCCATGTATACCCTGTATACTCTGTATGTACTGTATGTACCCTGTATGTATACCCTGTATACCCATGTATACCTTGTATACCCTGTATACCCTGTATACCTATGTATTCCTTGTATACCCTGTATACCCATGTACTCCCTGTATACCCATGTACTCCCTGTATTCCCTGTATACCCATGTATACCTTGTATACCCTGTATACCCATGTATACCTTGTATACCCTGAATACCCATGTATACCCTGTATACCCATGTATACCCTGTATACCCATATACTCCCTGTATACCCATATACTCCCTGTATACCCTTGTGCTCCCTGTATACCCTGTATACCCATGTATACCCTGTATACCCATGTATACCCTGTATACCTTGTATACCCTGTATACCCATGTATACCCTCTATACCCTGTATACCCGGTATACCTTGTATACCCTGTATACCCATGTATACCCTCTTTACCCTGTATACCCGGTATACCTTGTATACCCTGTATACCCATGTATACTGTGTATACCCTGTATACCAATGTATACCCTGTATACCCATGTATACCTTGTATACCCTGGATTCCCATGTATACCCTGTATACCCATGTATACCCTGTATACCTTGTATACCCTGTATACCCATATATACCCTGTATACCCTGTATACCTTGTATACCCTGTATACCCATGTATACCTTGTATACCCTGTTTACCCTGTATACCAAGGTACTCCCTGTATAACCTGTATACTCATGCACACACTGTATACCATGTATAGCATTGTATATTATCAGTCAGTTATGTTTGGTTAAATACAGCTAGTGCTTTGGACAATTATTGGATTTTAGCGCTATATAAATAAAATTATTATTATTATTAGTATTAGTATTATACAGGATTTACGATTCTTTCGACATATTTGTTAGTATTTGACCGTCAGGGGAAAGGAAACTATCCATATCAAGAGGTAGATTATTAGCTATCTGTAAGAAAGTTCCATAAGTTGTATTTGCCAGTTAACGGAAGAGCGTTTTGAAGTCAGTCGGTTACGTTTTTCTAAAAAGAGGATGTAACATGGCAAGACCAAAAAAGATGAATTAACGTCTTTGAGGAATTGTTGCAAAAGGTATATTTGTTATTTTCCTTTCGTCTTATTTTAAGTCAGAAATTATTGGTTGGTATGCGCCTATGTAATAGTATAAATTGGAACTCTATCAGTTTGGTGCTTTTTGTGCATCGTACTTTGCGCCATAAGATATGCAAGTTCACAGTTAAATGTTCCTTCTTCGTCTAAGTAGTTACAGTCTTGAAGTCATTTTAGTTGGCTTTTACGTGTGGTTAAACTTTTGGCTCTGGTCAGTTTTTGGTAAATTAATGGACCTGGCTTTTCTCTTTTAACAATTCAGTTTTCACTCAGTGTTTCAAAGTTATAGTCTCTTGTCTCAGCAGTATCGGTAATATTTTTGCGAATTCGTTTAACAGCTGATAGTAAACCGTAATAGCTGAACGGGCGTACTCTTAAATCATGTTTGGAGGCAAAATCTTTGAGAGTCAGAAAATTATCGTTTCCTGATTGGAGGTGTTTAACTTTGGAGATACTTATTTCAAACCACTCTTTAAAAAAATAATGTTCATTATCTATCGTTATCAAAGAGTTGAACCACAGAACCTGTTCTTGAAAAGCGATATCAGAACTTACTTTGTCCACAAAGTTTATTTCTTTCCAATATTCCAGTTTTTCTTTATTTACAGGGTCCGTTGCCCTAATCTCTTTTATACTGTCAGAGACTTTAGGATTACCACGGAAAATGAGATCGCGCCCGTAGTTCTCCAGTTATAGATCAAAGATAAATTTCCATTTTCCGTTTTTAGTAGTGTCCAAGTACTTTTCAACCCATGTTGTTTTAAGAGATTTGTTGAAAGAGTAAATAGAGAATAATACATGGTCGCGCGGAGATATGGAATTTATCTTCGAGTGTTCACACTCCTTACATCCTCCTCCTCCATTCCTTACCCTGTAAGGAATGGTGAAATATGGGAAGAACTATAAAGCGAAACTATTTTCGACTTTGACTATTTTGCTAAACATGTCACAAAAATGGCTGTTCTTATTTTGAGTTGGCATACTGGGTCATAGTATGCATGACAAAGAACTCTAGCTCATTCAATCCAGGATCTTTGATTTTTTCGTCATTTTCTTTCAGTGAAAGTCTTGATTGTTTTGCTTTCACGGTATGTCTGTATTTTTTACTTCGCTTTCGCGGTGTTGTACATTTTTTGTCTCAAGGAAGCCTTTGGTTTCCCCCACATTGTTTGCCTTGGCACCATCCACAACAACTGCATGCGCTCATACAGGTACCGTATTCGCTGATGCACTTGCACCTGCCTTTGTAGTTCCTTGACGCTTAGCTTTTGCTTTTGATTTCTATTTATTTTTTTTTGCATCGACATGGTTTTCTTGGAGTTGAGATTGGCACTTTCTCCGTGGAAAGCGTGGACTGACTCTCGAGAGCATCGAGATTGCTGTTTGTTTCAGAAGTGAATTGCTCCTGCTGATCACGTTGGGAGATAATTAGCGCATCATAGTGTCCTAGACCACTTGCATTATACGCCAGGTAGACGACGTTTTAGGCTGGCACCATCCCTTCTGGATAAATTATCACAAAAGGAGTCAAAAAACTTGGATTTAAGACAAATAAAGGTATTTGAATAACGTTTGCGATTGCTAGAGGTATAAGATCGCCTAGCGGACCTGAAAACGCCCCCGATTGGATAAAACGATCTGCCTCCGAAAAAAAGTTTACATCACTGGGCAGAAATGACTAATAAAAATCTACTCCTTCTCCCTTCAATTCTTGGACGACTTTAATCGTGAGAATGCTACCAATATCGTTGATGGATGTAGATGTGTCTCTTCCCACCTGTTCCGCAAGGTGCGACATGAACAGCGATTCATTATGTGCATTCAAGCTCACCATTTGTTGCAATTGCATTGCCACTACCATAAAAATGTCAAATCCCCAAGTCGAGGCTAGTTCAGTAAGCCTTTTTCTCTCACTTTTTGTTCGGTCTTCAGCTACAGTTTCATTTTCCATTAATGCCTTTGTTTTTAACGGTCTAACATAAGTAACTATCTTCTTGAAATTGAATAGTTTTGGCCCCGTTTTTTCCTCAACGATCTTGCTCATTTTCCACCACTGTAAAGCGTCTCTAAGAATGACAAAGTTTTCGTCATCCGGCTTTAAACTGTTCTGCACGTTTTCACCATCACTACACGTAGAACTCTCGTCATTGCTATCGATTAATGATGTAAGACGGGTTTGTATGTGAGAAATACTCTATTGATATTGTTTTCAAATTTATTTTTTTATCTGTAGCATTTGTCATCACATGGAAATATATTTCGTGAACTTTGTTATTGGTCCCGTCAGGGGTTCTTCTCGTTTGCGGTACTCCTGTTAACAGAATCTTCTTTCTACTGTTTATGAGCATGTCTCCTATAGATGGTAAGTTTGCATCGCGTTTCCTGTTTGAGTTAAAAAGGGTTCTTTCAAAGTGAGTTCTTGCAAGATCTACTCCAATTCGGTTTGTTACTGTTGTTTTCTTCAGTCCTCGGTGAAGCCGTTCGTTTCGTGTTGTCCCACAACCTGGGGGGATGTGTGACAAACATCCCTTTCTAACGTGACATTCTATATTTTTTAGTTCTTTTCCAACACTTTTGCTGATAACGCGAGCGCCACTTGAATATCTTATACGAAACCCATTTTGTGATAAAGTTGTTTAGGTTGCGCAAACGAAATCTCTTCAGGTGCCGGAGTTGGAAGCTTTCTCTCGATGGTTTGATCTCTCTGATCCCCGAAGACCAGTGAGTAATCTTTGCAAACCTCTGCAAAGATATGAGAACGTTTTGACACCTTTTTTGTAATTCTTTGTATGGCGTGAAACAAATCCAACTTGACGGGGACGTTTGGGAAATATGACGTGAGCAGGTGGTGCCACTTGCAGCAATTGTCTATGTATATTCCTGACAGTTTCACACCTCGATTTTTGAAGTCTAACGAGAGAGCTTAAAAAAGAGGTTTTATCTCCTCAAAACTCTCTGACATAGCGAACGACCACCTTATTACTTGTTCTTTCTCGTTTGTCATACAGAAGAGTGATGTGTACTGCGTAATCCAGGCGCCGTTTTCTTTTCTTTCCAAGCCGATATTTGCAGCTGCCTTGAAGGTGTGGTCACAGCTAATCCATTTAGCATTTAACAAATTCATTGCCTCTGTAAAAAGGTGTTTTTTCTCATTAAAAGAAGCAACGTAAACGCTTCTTATCAAGTTGTCACCTGGCCAGGGAAAAAGGTTTCCAGGAACGTCAAAATTTAACCCCTCAGCTGACTGTGTGAACCCCAATTCTTTCGCTTGGTGCGCGTCATTTAGAAATTTGAGAAAACCTGTTTCTTAATGTTCTTTTGTACCTTTCTTTTATGAGCTCTTCAACAGCCGATATTGCTAATCCTCTATCTAATAAATCTTCAATTTCATTTGACAATCGCATAGTCATACCAGATCGGTGTGTGAGAACAAATGGCACGCACGTATAATCCTCTGAGGTGTCGTGGAAATAGCCTGCGGGTATATCGTGACCATGCTCACATTTATATACTTTGCTTACAAGCAGCACTGGACTTTCAACGTCGAACAACATTAGGGGGTTTGATCTGTCTTTTCTTGCATTATTCCATTCATTGACGCTTCCCATTGATAGCAAAGAACATCTTCCATCTTCAGCGCACAAACGACAATACAGTTTTCTTTTTTTGGCGCGAAAAGCCGGATGTTGTCCAAGAGGATCGAAAAGGATATAGGGAAGTAGAAAGTAAGGATCTGCGTCTTGTCTCCAATCGGGTCCTGTAATCGGCGGTGGTGATGGTATGACGACAGAAGGAAAGGCCACCATTTCTTCATTCGTCGATAAATCGTTTTCATATTCCACTGTTGCTTTCATCAATATCTCTCCCTGCTTTTCTATCACCTCAAATCCCGTCACAAACGTCACAAATAGCACAAGAATGTTAATAGAAATTATTAACAGTGAGATGTGCATGTTTGATTTGTGTTCCGTCTTTCTTACTTGATCGTCCTGGCCTACCCACGGTGTGATGCTATGGGGAAAATCTTCCGTGAATGTACTTATGACAGTTGATTGATTTGTAGCCTGGGTATGTCCGCCCCCTTCTCTCCAACCAAAATCTCGCGCGGGCTTATTGAGTGTTACTGCGATTCATCAGGTCAGCATATCTTCGCATACTAGTTCAATTCAAATGCCAAATTTATTATCCCTTAAATTTGTAGCTTACATGATGGCATTTCAGAGGGGTTTTTAAAATTAACTGATTTCTTTTCAATATTAAATTCTTTACATAAAAGGTTTGTTTTGTATATCAAGCATGATTTGTTTACTTAAGGGTAGACAGGGTATACCGGGCACACACTGTATACAGTGTATACATGGGTATACAGGGAGTACATAAGTATACATGGGTATACATGGAACGCAGCTTATACATGGGTGTACTGGGTATACAGGGTATACAGGGAGTACAGGGGTATACAGGGTATACGGGGTATACTGGGTATACATGGAAATACAGGGTATACATGGGTATACAGGGTATACAGGGTATACATGGTTATACAGGGAATACAAGAAGTACAGGGAGTACATGGGTAAACAGGGTATACAGGGTCTACAAGGTATACAGGGTGTACAGGGTATACAAGGTATACATGGGTATACAGGGTATACAGGGTATACAGGGTATGCATGGGTATACAGAGTATACAAGGTATACAGGGTATACATGGGTATACAGGGTATACAGGGGTATATAGGGTATACAGGGTATACAGGGTATACATGGGCATACAAGGTATACATGGGTATATAGGGTATACTGGGTATACATGGGTATACATGGGTATACAGGGTATACAGGGTATACATGGGTATACAAGGTATACAGAGTATACAGGGTGTACATGGGTATACAGGGTATACAAGGTATACAGGGTATACATGGGTATAAGGGTATACAAGGTATACATGGCTATACAGGGTATACAGGGTATACATGGGTATACAAGGTATACACAGGTATACAGGGTATACAGGGTATGCATGGGTATACAGGGTATACAGAGTATACAAGGTATACAGGGTATACATGGGTATACAGGGTATACAGGGGTATATAGGGTATACAGGGTATACAGGGTATACATGGGTATACAGGGTATACAGAGTATACAAGGTATACAGGGTATACATGGGTATACAGGGTATACAAGGAATACAGAGTATACATGGGTATACAGGGGATACAGGGTATACAAGGTATACACGGGTATACAGGGTATACAAGGTATACAAGGTATACATATAGGTATACAGGGTATACAGGGTATACAGGGTATACAACGTTTACAGGGTATACATGGGTAAACAGGGTATACATGGGTATACAGGGTATACAGAGTATACAAGGTATACAGGGTATACATGGGTATACAGGGTATACAGGGGTATACAGGGTATACAGGGTATACAGGGGTATACAGGGTATACAGGGTATACATGGGTATACAAGGTATACATGGGTATACAGGGTATACTGGGTATACATCGGTATACATGGGTATACAGGGTATACAGGGTATACATGGGTATACAGGGTATACAGAGTATACAAGGTATACAGGGTATACATGGGTATACAGGGTATACAAGGAATACAGAGTATACATGGGTATACAGGGGATACAGGGTATACAAGGTATACACGGGTATACAGGGTATACAAGGTATACAAGGTATACATATAGGTATACAGGGTATACAGGGTATACAGGGTATACAACGTTTACAGGGTATACATGGGTAAACAGGGTATACATGGGTATACAGGGTATACAGAGTATACAAGGTATACAGGGTATACATGGGTATACAGGGTATACAGGGGTATACAGGGTATACAGGGTATACAGGGGTATACAGGGTATACAGGGTATACATGGGTATACAAGGTATACATGGGTATACAGGGTATACTGGGTATACATCGGTATACATGGGTATACAGGGTATACAGGGTATACATGGGTATACAGGGTATACAGAGTATACAAGGTATACAGGGTATACATGGGTATACAGGGTATACAAGGAATACAGAGTATACATGGGTATACAGGGGATACAGGGTATACAAGGTATACACGGGTATACAGGGTATACAAGGTATACAAGGTATACATATAGGTATACAGGGTATACAGGGTATACAGGGTATACAACGTTTACAGGGTATACATGGGTAAACAGGGTATACATGGGTATACAGGGTATACAGAGTATACAAGGTATACAGGGTATACATGGGTATACAGGGTATACAGGGGTATACAGGGTATACAGGGTATACAGGGGTATACAGGGTATACAGGGTATACATGGGTATACAAGGTATACATGGGTATACAGGGTATACTGGGTATACATCGGTATACATGGGTATACAGGGTATACAGGGTATACATGGGTATACAGGGTATACAGAGTATACAAGGTATACAGGGTATACATGGGTATACAGGGTATACAAGGAATACAGAGTATACATGGGTATACAGGGGATACAGGGTATACAAGGTATACACGGGTATACAGGGTATACAAGGTATACAAGGTATACATATAGGTATACAGGGTATACAGGGTATACAGGGTATACAACGTTTACAGGGTATACATGGGTAAACAGGGTATACATGGGTATACAGGGTATACAGAGTATACAAGGTATACAGGGTATACATGGGTATACAGGGTATACAGGGGTATACAGGGTATACAGGGTATACAGGGGTATACAGGGTATACAGGGTATACATGGGTATACAAGGTATACATGGGTATACAGGGTATACTGGGTATACATCGGTATACATGGGTATACAGGGTATACAGGGTATACATGGGTATACAGGGTATACAGAGTATACAAGGTATACAGGGTATACATGGGTATACAGGGTATACAAGGAATACAGAGTATACATGGGTATACAGGGGATACAGGGTATACAAGGTATACACGGGTATACAGGGTATACAAGGTATACAAGGTATACATATAGGTATACAGGGTATACAGGGTATACAGGGTATACAACGTTTACAGGGTATACATGGGTAAACAGGGTATACATGGGTATACAGGGTATACAGAGTATACAAGGTATACAGGGTATATATGGGTATACAGGGTATACAGGGGTATACAGGGTATACAGGGAGATAAACAGTCTATTACTATTACATGAGGGATATATGTATTTGGCGTAAGCGTAACATGAAAGAATAACCAAAACCACAGTGCCCGATGAAGCAGGCGAGACGAAATGTTTCCCTGGAGCTCTTTTTAAGAAGGTTACAAATACATTACGCTCCAGGCTCGATTCTTACTCACGTTCTTCTGAATTTTTTCCCTCAAAAATTGAGGAGACTTACACTTTCATGAACATTTGCTGAACAGAAATTTCAAGAGACCTAACAATTTCGTCTAAGTGTAGTGTAAAGGCAATGAAGAATACTACGTTGTGTAAACTTCCGGCAGCAGCCTCGTCTCCAGGGTCTTCTCGTTTTCACCAGGCCCCAGACATACAGGTAAAATTCCATGGGAGGCGATGGGCATGTGGCATTAGTAACATTAACATGACGTTTTGAAACGACTTATGTAATTTGAAGAAAAGGAGATGTCCCAAGGGATACCATACCCACCCCAATTTTGATCTACCTGGCCCTGCGTAGGTTAGGCACGAGTCGAAAGGGTTGAGGGAGGAAGGGAAAAAAAGTTTGGAATGGTGAGAAAGGAATTACCTCTCCATTTCCCTTTCGTTTTTCCTCTCCCCTTTCATTTGCACTTTTGTGGCTGCCACTTTTCATAATTTTACTAATACTTCGTTTTTCAAAAAAATGTCCATTATCAACAGCAATATCATAATCTTTGGAAGTTTAGGTGAAGTTTCTGGTGTAGATTTTCAAACCAACTGGATCCTTCAATTTACTTTAATAAGCCATTTGTACGATGACATCTTTTTACTACTAAGACCAGAATACATTCCGTTTTTTCTTTCATATTTAAATTTATTAATGCCAGTGAGGTTTAAATAACAAAACCCTGAAGGACCTGGGTGAGTGTTCTACTTAGTAGTATTAGTAAAATGACGCCATCGTGCAAATGGCCTATTAACAAGAAAGGGGAAACGCAGCAGGGTCGTTCATGACTTTTAGGTCCTCAAGGTTTTTGAATATTGTTTTATTAGCTGAGTTGGAATTAAATTGGCCATGGACTTAAAAGCTGGTATAGAGCACAAGGACGTTGATAAAGCAAATGTGGTCCATTATAACCCATAACGAAGGCAATGTGAAGTGACATCTCTTTCTTTGGAAATCAAACACGGTTTATCCGTCTGTTTTGTCCCTGATATATAAACCGAGCGACCTTGACGAGTGAGAAGACACTTTATTATATAAACACCAATGAAATACCAGGTGAACTTTCGCACGAAAACATGTAATCTTCACACGTGAGAAGATCGCCGTTGCTTTGGCTAGAAAATAAATCTCGCCTTTCACAACAAAAAACTATTAAAGTGAAATGTTTTGGTATTTCATTGGTGTTCAAATAATAAATAGCACCTTACATGACCGCTTGGAGATACGAAATTTCTCTTCGCGTGAACAATCGACGACAAATTTCGTATTTCCGCGCGGCCATGTAATATCCTCTATGCTCTCTTTGCTACTATTAGTTTTTCTTGCTGGCACCGACCTAACACTGCTAAAGCTCAGGATCTTTTTTAAAAAATATCTTACGAAGAGGGTACTGCCTGCCCCGCTAACAGGCAGACATACGTATGACTAAGATGACTACGAAAACCGGCGGTCTCGTCTCTCGTAACAAAAGTACAATAGTGTGCTTAATTACTACTTGCGAACAAAATACATCGACAATAAGTAAAGTAGGCTGTTGTTTAAAGAAAAACAAAATACTTCCAATTTCATGCCATTCCCGTGATATGTAATGACTCCTCACTATTAAACATTTTAACTTCCTAGAGTGTCAATCCCTGTGTCCATTAAAGGGATTTGAGACGAGAAGATCAGATTTGCCTGTTAAATACGTGCTGTATTCACCACGGAGCTTTAACGAGAAACTGAATACTTAGGGAAGAAAATAAGTCATAGCGACGTTTAAAAGCTCTTTATACCCTTGGTAGTCTGGAAAACAACTAACTGTGACTACAGGGAAGAGCAAATACTAGATGCCACGTATCCTAAATAGAACCTACTAGTTTTCACAAGTTTACTTAGTACAGTAGAACCTCCCGCCGCTACCGCTCACTGTTAACTCGAACCAGACCTCATTTCCCTTGGATTGGATTCCGCTTTTCAGTAATTTCCACTAGGTTAACTGTAACACTCCAGCATATTTGACTTTAATTGGTTCAACGAAAAGATAATTTCCCTATGTTATTATTATTGTTTCATTGACAATCCTTTCCCATTGTTAGAGGAAGATTACATTATCGCGTTACAGTTTCTTATAAGTTAAATTTGTACAATACTGTATAATTATTAACAAAGCAAATTCACACGATAACTAGAACACCCACTAATTCAAATTGTTCGTTTCTCTTCAGAGGTCGAGCTACCGGGTTCTGCTATACTTCTCCGTGGGACGTAACTACCTGTTAAACATTACAAACGTTTACAGAAAGCTGTTTGCGTGGCGCCTTACCATGTATTAAGCTCGATTTCCAGCCGCTAATCGGGAAATGAGCCTGCGCCCCTCCCCCGAAAAGAAGGAGAGGAACAGGACTGGTCGACTGGACTCGAGAGGGCGGCCAAAGTCGACCCTAACATTGTATGGACTAGTCGAGTGACAACTCGAGGAAATCTCCCTTGAAAGTAGTCTGAATATATAAGCCGTCCCCACGGCGGTCAAGAGGGCTGACATTTCACACTACCTTAAAAGGAAACTTGATTAACATTTACGTAGACCGAAGAAATTCCTTGCGTAGGCAAGGTTAACTCTAGTCTCCTTCCCAGGAGACTAAGACAACTTTGAGAGGAACTAGAAAGTCAGAATCTACATTAAAAAAATACTTCTTTTTATAAAATTAGTCTTCTGTCCATGCACGTGGTTGCTTCACCAACTGTAGGAATGCACACGCTTCAACTATATGAATTACAAACTACTGTCCAAGAAATAGGAAGATCTAATAGTTATACTCATCAATAAATGATAAATTTACATTTGAACAATTGGCAAATACACAGCAAGCTGTCATTCATTTATGACTAACACTTGATATACATGTACATTCATCTTTAGCTTGAGTATCAGGCCTTTCTTAGGGGTAGGGAAGAGGGGATTTTAGAGGGGGAGGGGGAAAAATAAGAAGAGCTCCCCTTTGCACCTCTCTATTCTCTTTTTCACCCCAGAAACGCCTGAAACTTGGGCTAAGTCATCTTTTCACTGGAATCAAACCTTTCAAACTTTAAAGTCCATAACTTGATGTTCTGAAGGCTAACTTACTTAGTTCAAAACATTTGCGTATGTTATCCAGCGGTATTATCTGAATTCACGGTCACCTCGCGGCCCTTCAAATCCGCTTTTAACTGGATGTTTTGTTTTGTGGCTCATAGGTTATCCCATTCGCAACAGGTCCCTGGAGGGTAAAACTAGTTACAAAGTAAACCAACTGGCCTGCAGTGAAATCTCTGTCAACCCTTCCAATACCAGCATTTTTGGGGAGGTATAGCTCGACTTTTCCTGGAACCAACTCGATGTAAGGATATGATTTCCCTCGATCGGAGGGTGTTCCACTGCGAATTCTTCCTTTACATTCCAGTAGCTTTCTCCTGCTTTCCACCTGCCAGAACCTATACACCATTTCAGGCACTTCAGTTGGGTAGTCCGTTTCTTCACTGAACAAAGTGTTGCGAGTAAGAAGACGAGACATTCCTTGGCCATTCTTACTAACAAATAGTGTAGACTGGGTGCTGCGACAATGGTTCTGTGACTTTTCCCGGCACGACGCGCAAGCTTTCAAGTATTTCGGCAAGAACTCTATAGCATTTCCATCCAGAATCTGAAGAAAGCAAATCGCCATCTGGTAGAAGTATGGAAGAGAATCATGACGGGAGACCTCAGACCACTTTTCAGTTAAGGCAAACCCCTGAACGAGAGTGTAAGTCTGTGGTCCATTTACAAGAATGCAGACCTTCATCAAATGGTATGCTAGGCGGTTTTCATTCTCTTTGAAAACAAGGTCTCCCAGAAGCTTCTGCAAGAATACGAGATGTTCCTGCTTTAATTTGTCTATTGGATCGCTTGAATTCAAAATAAACAGAGCCTGTAACCGTTTAAGCTCTAAAGCCGACGATCGTGGAAAGTTTTTAGCACTACAAAGTGCCTGGCAAGCTTGAACCACATCCTCTACATCACGTCCCCTTCCGGTTGAAGACAACCTTGTTCCAAAGTTTTTCATCAGAGCCACCCTTGCATTGTTACACCTTCTTTGGGTGTCCTCTGGATCAGGTAGGCTCGGAACACTCTGTACAATACGATCAACCGTATCCAACAGATAAAATGAATGACTAACACAAGAACGAAAGAACTCGGGACATTGGTTTGTCAAGAACCTAAGCGTTTTGTCGGCATCCCGGTTACATTTGTGTTTCATGATCCATCCGATGCAAGCAAGCCAAACGTCCACCTCACCAATAAGGGGATTAGGGTAGGTTAGAGGAAAGTTCCGAGCCTCACTGTAGGCATCCAATACTTTTGTGGCCAGATCTTCGAGTTTTTGCAGATTTTCAACTCTACCGGTATAAATCATGTACTGAAGCTCAACATAAAGAACAACCCCTTTAGTGTGGCAAATACTCCTGAACCTCAGCTTGGCGTTTGTGGTTTTAAAGGCCTGCTCAATGAGCTCCATAGCCTTTGAAAACGAAGGAGGATCCATCTTGGCGAAAAATCGGGCTGCATTAGCATATACAACTGAGTCGCCAGTTTTTTCTGCCGCTTCACAGAACACCTCCGCAGCGCGTTCCTGGTTGATGATTTTCAACTCTTCGAAAAGTAAAGAGAATTTCCTCTTCTTTTGACCATCCTTGTTGTAGACAAAAAGATCTTCAAAAAGTGGCATGAACACTTCCCGCTGGTAAACTGGAAAATGCAGAAACTGGTTTACCACTTGAAACAAGTCACAGCCTTGTGTTTGAAATGCCTTCTTCAACAGCAACTCAGCAACCACTCGATGCTGCAGGGTATAACGTTCAGGCGAAGCTTCCTGAAAGTGATACTTTCCTCCTCGACAGCGCAACGGGTTTAATGGGATCATAAGATTTAATAAGTGCTCGGTGAACAACTGCTTGATTTCTTCGTAAGTGACATTATTTCGATCTTTGACTGAGTGTAAGTGTCTACTGAAAGCGTCGTAAAGGAGGAGGGCTGGAGTTGGCTGATTCGCATACTTCTGAAGAAAAGCAACCACCACGGCTATATCTTGTTGAAGACTTTCCATCTCATTCCAACTGTCGTCAATAATTTTCTTAAGCCTGGGACGGAACTTGTCCATCATCGCTAAAAGTGGAAAGTGAAATACACGGCATGGACCACATCTGCGGGCTTCACCTAGCGATTTCTCAATTAATTCGCTGTACTTTTGCTGAAATTCATTTAAATCTGCACGCGTATCTTCCAGCTTGACATCAACGTAGAAAATCTTGTGAATACTGCATGTCTCTCGCGTGTCTTGAGCCGAAGTCTTGGATCCGTGCAGACAACGTAGTAAGAGAGCTCGCTTTCCTTTGTTACCAAGCATCCTAACAAGCTTGTTAGATAACACTTCAATTGCCCTCGGCTGCTTTCCATCTATAAGAATGACGGGGGACGTGCGGCAAATCTCTTCTAGTGCAGCTATGTGTTCAGCCAGTTTCACAGCATAAATGTTGTCTTCGTCATAGTACAGATGTGCGTTGACTTCTATAAAAGCACAGGGATAATCTTTGTGTAGATCCCACATCACACGACGAGCAATGGTAGTACCACCAGTACCAGGCGAATGCTTGATTTCCACAATCACAGAGCGAGTCCGTGTCTTGTCGGCAAGAAGACGCTGGACATGGATCTTGATGTCATTCTCAATATCCCGTTTTGCATCGTGATTGTAGTACAGACTCGCAAATGAAATGGCATTGCCTGAGAAAAACAATCGTCGATTCTCTTCAAGGAATTCTTGTAAATATTTATCTCCTTCCGATGAGTTGTTTGGGTCCGGTAACTCTTCACAACCAATATACAGTACTTCAAGAAACTCCTTTAAATAAAGGTACTCTTTATTGCTTAGCTGCGCATAAATCTGGGCTTGAGAGGTGGGCATTCGGTACTGCTGCGATGACGACAAACAGAGCATCTGTTTTAAACCGAGGTGTACAAGATCAGAAGCCAAATCGATTGTACACACCTTGACCTTTTCAAACACAGAAAGCTGTCTTGCGTTCTTGAAGGACACGACATGTAGTCTAAACTGGTCCGCAAAGTTCTCAAAGAGGCGACCCAGCGTCCGTTCTAAATAGGGAACAGTTTTCTGAAAAAATGGAAGAATCAGGCACACCACTGGTTTTTGTTTGTCAAACTTATCTGGATCGCAACAACATACAAAAAATCTTGAGATTTCTTTTACTGAGGTTGCTTCCCACTCAGCAAACTCAGGTTGTTTTCCGCCCGTATCACTGGATCTGCCATTGACGAAAAGCCACTGGGTTTTGCTGGAATCAATCTCCCGTGCCAAGGTAACAATAGTTTTTGGCTTCAACTCTGCTGGAGTAGCCATGCTTATCAAGCTGCCTTGCCCTTCATGTGAAGTGAATTGATGATAAAAACCTTTTTCCTCCGACATCGGATCAAAGTCTAAAACCATTTTCCACTGTACGCTTCTCAAAACAGAGAAACAGTCCAGATTTTCTTGCGAGAGTGCATCAGTAACAAGAATATACTGGTTCTTTCGGGTATCAAAGTCTCCGACTGCAGCGCAAAACTTCAACCACTCGTCCCAGTTAGGACCACTAAGATCTTTTGGACTTACTGGCGTTTTGCAAGGAGGATCTAATTTCACCAAAAAATCATCTAACTTCTTTTCTAGCGAATCCAACTTCTTGCCGTGAGAATCCGACTTGGCCTTCTCTTCCAGAAAACGGTCCTTGTAGTATTCTCCTGCGAGAAGCTCCCCATCTATATTAAAAAGAGAGAACTCTTGGATTACTCAATTTGTCATATCTTTTCATATAAATTTCTTACTTAAATACTAAAAAATTAAATACTAAAAAAGTTAATTCTCATTGAAGTCAAGAAGAAGATTTTGAAATACATCTAGACAAGAAGGCTACTACTTTACGAACACTGTAAGTGCTCTTTCACTGTAAAAACTGATTAAAAATCGCGGGTAGTGCATTATAACCCCTATCTCTATTTAGGGTTGGAGGGCGGCTTCTGTATGGATGGCCTCCACGGTTAATACTTTATCGTTTTTTCTGACTTATTGCATGGAACGAGAGCGGATCGTGAGGTTACAAATACAATTGAAGCTCTCCTTGTGACCACTCTCCCAACCCACGAGCTCCAGTTACGACCAACAGTTTTGAAACCTTGATTAAGGCTCGTCTATGTAAAGGTCTCGTTAGCAAATGATCTTGAAACTGACCGTGAACACTTTTGTGAATTAACGGCTGGTCTTTTTCTCAACGTTTCTGTAAGCGACCACTAAAAGAACACTCGACTCACTACAAGCATTTACTTCTTGATCAAATTTAGGGTTTTACATAAAATAAGCAGTAATGGTTCGTTGACTTCTATACACGAAAAACTGTTAAGTAATAAAAATGATAATAATAGCTATTCAACAATAATATTTAAATGCTATTGATAATTACCAACACACACCTCGCTCTCTGCTCGACTAGCCTCAGTACGTTAAAATTTTGAAAGGTTACTTATGATAGCCCTTTTTCATAAATAATCACCTCCACTGTTGCAAATAAATTTCTCAAAAATAAAACTGAAATCTTCAAAAAGTGATGGGATCGACTAAGAATTTTCATAATTTCCAACTGTCCCAGATTTCCTAAACTGACCGCAAATTTAAAATAACTGACCATACCCCCCTCTGCAATTTCGCCACAGTATGAAATAATGTGAGAGCCCCCTGTGCACTGTGTACTTTTGATACTTGATACTTTTTGCTTACCTTGGGTGCATAATTAACAATTATTGAATTCAGCTTTCGTATCATATGAAGAATTATGGAGATCGAGGAGGGTGTTATCACCCTCCGAGATCTCCATAATTCATCATATGATACGAAAGCCGAATTAAATAATAATTTGTTTTATTATTCATTCAAAATAATTCCTAGTTTAAAAACAAAGCTAAAACATGCTTACCTCCATCGATGTTAAGTTCACCTTCGATAGTGCATGTTTAGGGTTGTTCAGCTCCGAAAATATTCTCCAAATAGCAGATGTCGCCCTTTGAGTTGTGTTCTTGCTGTTCTTGCCATGTTTTTAGCTATAATTTCACCTAGTTCTTACTATTGAAACGAGTGAAATGTCCGCCATTTTTTGTTTGACAACGAAAACGACTCAACCTTGTCCCCAGGTCTTCTCGGTTAACGGTGCATTAACCTGCAAGAACGCTGCATTTTTGACGTCATTTCCTAGTTAAACACAAAATTCTTCCAAATTTGGTCATCAGTAACTGGTTATGGTGAATTATGCGTGTGCTTTTAGCCAATCAGAATCAGGGAAATATTTTGAATGAATTATTATTCATTCAAAATATTTCTGTTTCTGATGCAGAACCGAATTTAAACAGAATTTAAACCGTCAACCGGGAAAACCCGGGGACGGGTTTGATTTTTTTCGAAGTGATTATTTCCAAAACATTTTACTTGTTTCACGGTTTCACTAGTCTAAAAACATGACAAGAACAGCAAGAAGACAACTTGACGGACAACGTCTGCTATTTGGAGTATATTGGCAGACCTGAAAAGCTCTTTATCTCCTTAACTTCCCGATAAAAATGCACTATCCATATGAACTTAACATCGACTGAGGTAAGCATGTTTTAGCTTGTTTTCAAACTTGGAATTATTTTGAATGAACCTTGATCTGCAGAATTCTTCCTATCCTACTCCACCTCATTCAATAATTGCTAATTGTATTACATTCTTTTCAGTAAATGTCATTGGTTGGGCTGGGGGTGGGTGGGTAAGCGTGCTATACTTTGACTTTCCACTGTTGAGAAGGGTAGTGCTTTTTTTTAACGTGATAGGGCACAGGAATTAGAGGATTTTGGCCGCAAGTAGTGCATATTTATAGGGAATTGATCAGTGGTATGAAGAATAAATTAATGGAATGTCTTTTAAATTAAAGTACTGTATTTCCTTGAATAATAGCTGTCCCTCAATTAATCGCCTCCCTCAAATAATTGCCACCCCCACGGGTGTCATTAAGGTTTTGAACAGAAGGGCAATTTGGTTTGACAGCCGGGCAACAAATTAGAAAGGTACACCCTGGCCCAAAATTCATAGACACCTGGGATTTTGAGCTCCAAAATGAAATGATTTAACAAGGAGAAGCATAACTTTACTAATTAAACAAGGAGCTAATATATTTTTGCTGCACAAAATGCTGATTTAAAAATTACATGTACCGGTAACATCTCCATGTAATAATGTACCTGACTGATTTTTTATGTCTGCAATATCAGCTGGATTGGCACCAAGTGTAACAAAATGGGAAGAGAGTTGAGGCCAGTATATGTTGAAGTCAGCATCACACATCCTATCTGTAAAAGGGTGTCCCAGCAATTTGTTACGAATCTTCTTTAGTTCTTTCAAGGCATCATCACAGTCAGCTCTCTTGCTCATTTCCAAGGCACAAGTCTTTGAGAAGCAAAGGGCAGTTGTGATTAAAGAAAAGTCCCACTTTTCAATGTCACCACTATTAAAAACATTTTCTTCTTCTTTGTTAAGCTTCATCTTTCCTCTGTCAAAGGCAGCTGCATCTGAAGGTTGATTTGTCCATGAGGGATTCATCTCCTTAAACAGCTTTCTAATTGCTTGGAGGCCTACCCCATAAATCAACTTGAAAATGCAGAGTATGTTCCTTCTAGAAATGGAAACCAAATGCATGAGAAACCGTTACAGCTATAGTCAAATATGTTAAATTCCACATCCTATCCTCTTGCTTCTTACAAGTTTCCTCCCAGAACCCCCTACTAGGATCCTCTCTAACATTATAAAATAATGTTTTCAGTTGATCATACTATTTTGACATTTCCTCAATAAGAAAGAGGGTTGCATGAAGAGTGTATAAATTAACAACCTCAAGAACAAAAGCTAAGCACAGCGCTTGCCTTTTGAACAACATTTTACGGTACACTATTCATCTTTGGAGTTAAAAATCTGCTTTTAGGTTTGACCTACAAAAACAGTGCCAGTAGATACTGTATATCCCTATCTTTGAAGATGAACATGTATATTGCTCCCTTTTCCTCCTGCCTGCATTTGCTTGTTCAAACTCACATAAAAATTTGAAATTAACATTGAGAAGGAAGACATGAAGAAATGTGCAATTTAGTCTATTACTAATTTAGCCTAAAAAAATTTATTCACATTCACTTGACTGGAAAGGATTTTTAATACGATTTTCCACCCCTGCAATGGTGATCTTAAAATTAATATTGTTAAATCTGGCTGACTGATGGATTCAAGCGTTTAGAAAATAAAGAATATTTTATTACACTAAAGGTTATATTTTACCCTTCATGGTCAAATGAAGAAAATGAGTTATCCTCCTCATCAGATTCATGGTCTTCCAATATGGGCTTTGAACAAAAAGCCTCTCCAGGATTGTCTGCCGTTACATCATCAGAATTCGCAAATTCAGTATTTGCAACTTCAGGTGCTAATTCAGAAGAACAACTTCTGTCATCCTCTTCTGACTCACATAGGTCTTCTTTTCCTCTCACAGTTATATCTGTATCATCAGCCAGGCTGGGCTTAAGACTGCTATCAGATTCTCCGTGGCTGTCCACTTCAGAGTCTATGACCCCAGTATTGCCATCCTCTTTTGGCTTTTTTTCATCCACCTCATTAGCTAATCCACCAGAGTTTCTTTCACTCACCACTTTTCCAACAGCTCCTGACATTTCTGCTTCACTGGAGTGTTCTTCATCACTCTGGACTTCACAGCCCTTTATGCCATCATTATCACCATCGCATGGTGGCTCAGGGGTTGTAATGCTCACAGTTTCAGATTTCTTTCCCTTTTTCTTTTTCTTCTTTTTCCTTAAAGATTTGTTTTCTGAAGTTTCTTCACCCTTCTCAACTTTTTCTTCTGAAGTTAGCTTGCCTGTGCTTGATAAATTCGGACCTGCTTCACTTTGACCAGCTTCTTCAATTTCATTAGCTGCAGAAACTGCATTATCAGCACTTTCATCTTGGGCAGAAACAGACTTCTCATTAGCTAATCCACCAGAGTTTCTTTCACTCATCACTTCTCCAATACCATGTTGAGGATAACCATTAGCAGCAACACCTCCTGATATTTCTGCTTCACTGGAGTGTTCCTCATCACTCTGGACCTCACACCCCTTTATGCCATCATCGTCACCATCACATGATGGCTCAGGGGTCGTATTGCTCAGAGTTTCACATTTCTTTCGCTTTTTCTTTTTCTTCTTTTTCCTTAGAGATTTGCTTTCTGAAGTTTCTTCACCCTTTTTGACTTTTTCTTCTGAAGTTAGCTTGCCTGTGCTTGAAAAATTCGGACCTGCTTCACTTGGACTAGCTTCTTCAATTTCATTAGCTGCAGAAAGTGCATTATTAGCACTTTTATCTTGGGCAGAAACGGACTTCTTTTTTTTTCTTGATCGCTTCTTTTTCTTTTCACTGGCTGTATTGCATTCCAGTGATTTATCGTCCATATCGTCTCTCTCAGCAGACATTGGACTTGCTAATTATTTAGAACGAAGGTCATGAATCTTTCACACGATGATCAGATGCGCTAATTTATTTTTCACGCGTGACTGCAATTCAATGAAGTGATGTCTGGAGGAAATTCACTCTCTGATGTAAATTCAGTATTCTACGTTTCCAGTAGAGAAAAGATTTCCTCCCTGAAAAAGAAAGGCACTCTTTTAAGCTTACTATAATACAACAAAGACAAGTACAGTAGCCAAATAATTAAACAGATTATAGGTCCAATGTAAGCTCAAACTTCATGTCACCTTCCCTGGTTGAAAATAACAGAGAGAAAAGAAACTAATCATACACGTAAAAAATATAGAATAGTATGTATTAGAGCCCATAGGAGTCCTTTAAAAAAGTTTTTGAGATTATTTTTACACGTTTTTGGCGTGAATTCGATTCGGTTTCTCGAGGTTTCGGTTTCGCAGTCGACTTCCGCCTTCATACGTATTAAAGGAAGAAAATGGATAAGTTCTTACATGGTTGCTTTGAGATGCCTCTAAAACAGCCAGTTCAAATGTTCCTGAGTCTGAATGGAATCTTACTGACTCCTTAGTCTTTCCCATTCACTAATATCTCTTCAACCAAATACAAAGTCGAATGCCTACACAACACGATAGCGATGTGTGCGCCGCAAAATAGCGGCCCTCGCGCGAATGCAAGAAGATTTTCAAAGCAAAGCCCTGGGAACTAGCCAACTGAAACCTCGATTTGATGACGATTTGATGAGGTTCCTCCACAGGAAGCGCAAGCTCACTATGAGAAGAAAGGCCTTCCATGATGCTTTGTTTCCAAGTATATTATAACTTTTGACCGCTAACGTGACTTCTTATTTCGAATGCGAAGTCACGGCGGCTCTGCGGATTTCAGCGTTCAAACCTTCAAAAAAGAGTAAAGAGTGTTATTATTGAAATAGTAACACACAGCGTGGAAGATCAAATAACAAGAATCGCCGAAAGGCGATTTTTCACCGGGCTATTTTTTTCTGAGAGGAGGGGGCGGCTATACACAATCAGGCTACCATAAAACCTTGTCACCGACCATTGGGTGAGACAGAATCTCATGTGAGACTGAAAAAAACTCATTCAGAACATTATACCCTTTTGAAAGACTTTCGTAGCAAAAAAAATGAATACCATTTGTAACTGGGGGGCTGTATAATAGCTTTTAAATTCCACCAATATAAATAAAAATAAACAAGTTAGTCTTTAATTCTAAGCAGGAAACGATTTGCATTATTTTCACGCACCTGTCCCCCAATCCCTCTGTCTCCCAAAATATAGCGTGACAGTATAACGTGACTAATTTGACGTAACCGGAAATTCCAAAAATTATTGTCGTTCTACGAGTATAAAATGCGACAAGGTCAGCTACTAGCCACTGGGCTAATTTACACTAGACAGAAATATTGTATTGTATGAAACTCAGAAGTTTACTAAAACAGACAGCCAATTGCCCATTGATCCCGATCCAGGGGCCTCAATGACTGCACTGAGACTTTTTAATAGACGATCCTAATTTGCGGTCTACAGTCTACATGAAAACTCACTATTTTTTCCTCAAGATAAAAAATATTCAGTTTTAAGATTTTCCTCTTGGTATTTTTCTCTAACCCCCAGTTAAAGGAATAACATCCTTTGCATTTTGTGACCTAAAAATTTTTAAAGATTTCTCGCTTGCATGTTGCTTTCATCAGCACGTACTTTAAACAACGTACCGATAACATCGATAACAGATAAAAGATCGATAACATATTTTTTTTACCTGATACCGATATTACTTAAAAATTCGCTCGAGTTCGCTGTTTGTCTCAAGACACCCATGACTAACTTTCTTCATGGTAGATAACTATGCCGCTTTATAACTCCTCCGAAGTTTTTGTGCCAGCTAAACAAAATGGAAAGGTATATGGAAACACTATTCACAGTCCTTGGATATTAAAAAGACTGAACGTAACGCACAATGTGCCCTTGTTTACCTCTGATCACATCTGCAAGCGAACTATCTCTTTTCAAGCGATTCATCTCAATGCACAGTAATTGACCATTATACTAGTTGTAGCTTTCGCTAAGTGCCAACGAAAGAAAAAGAATTTGCCTACATCACCGGTTTTAGTTCCAGTGTTTATAAAACCATTTTAGCTGCTGAGGCGAGAATTTCCACTACAAGCACTCCTCGTTCCTACATTTCTGCCATGCTCTTGGCCTTAAAATCGCTCTTATTCTTCTGCTTAGACATTTTTTAGCCTTAAACTTGTCGAGTTTCAAACAGCGAAGGGGAAATAACATTTATAGGTTTGCGCGAACTTGAAATATTGTTGGTTTTCATTTTCACATGACGTCACTAAAATTCAAACTAAAAAACTATCGATCCTACTGAGATTTTACTTTCACGGTGCATTAGAGCAGCTGAAAACTAATTTTCATACAAATTTTGGCTTCAAAAGGGTTCTTGGTTTTGTGATAGAGTACGCTTGAACTTCTAAGCCTTTGCGTGACGTGGCATTTACTAATCTCGTACCCAGATCTCCCACGTCCAAGGGTAAAACAGAGTGAGATCTGGGTGCGAGATTAGGCATTTAAATGACGGCCAATATGACGGCCAAAGACGGCCAAGAGAGCTGTCATGTAGGTTAAAAAAATGACTTATTTCAGGAAATTTTGCTATCTGAACAGTTCATGTATTAGAAAAAGTATTACTTTAACAACCTCGTCCCCAGGGCTTTTCCCTTGAAAAATGGGTGGGGCGGGAAAAGGCCCTGGCATCGGCTGGTCACGTGCACAGCCTAAATATTCCTGAGAAGCTAATTTATATGCAACCCGTTGGTTTTGCGCTGACAGACGTCGAACGGAGCAACAATGGAAGATAATAGTATCGCGAACTGTATGTCAATATTTTCGCGTCTGTGCGATTCAAAAGCTTAAGATCCATTTAATTGCGTATTATTCAAATGCTAAAAGTTTATGAAAGGGCGTACCGGCTATACGTTGTCACGTACAATATATGTCAAATGCTTCAGAGTTGAGACAAGCTGTTATCGAGTAGTACTTCGACTGAAATTCATCGTGACTGTGGAATTACTGTACGATCATCAAGCAGAAAGTGATTTTGTCCAATGTCAAACAAAAATGCGGGCCTTTGCCTCTAGGATCTGCAGTGAATTTAAACAAATTGAACTTAATTGAAATAGAATTGTTCATCAAAATGCGTTATGGAGTCTGGTCTTCTCTACAACCCGACCATGAAACAAACAAATCTCCGCGCCGGATGCAAGTCAGCCCTCCAGCTAGCCTGCGTAGCAAACGTTTCCTCGCGAGGTTCGTCTAGGAGAAGAGCAAAAATGCTTCCGCTCTAACTTTCGCGCAATAACTCGATTGGAAACGCTTGCTACGCAGGCTACCCTCCAGCCAGGAACGATGACAGGTCGCCGATCTAACACATGTGAAGATCTCGTATATCTTTTCTCTTCCGAGGATAAGTACAAAGGATTTTCCTTATATTAAAGGGAAGATTGACCGATCGACTGGAATCAACTACAGCTATTTCAATTTTAAATGGACCCAAGTCTTTCTTTGTTACCAGTCGTTTGATACCCTAGGTGCCAGAGACTTTTCATGCGCAGTTTCCGGTTTCGGTCAAGTCTCGCAGAGGTCAATGAATTTCTTAAAAATACAGGTCATACAAGATAAGTCTAAACCAACGCGTATCGCTATGATGATATGGCGGAGAGTTAAAGTGAATGGAACTAGGTTGTATACGGCGGTCCACTTCGCAAGAAATAAAATAAAATATCAAAAGAGTCGCGAAAACGAACTTTTCCAGTACAAACTTTATGCATGTACGGAGTAGCTTGTTTATCATTTATATCGCTCTATAAAAGAAGTTTTACAAATGTTACCGCTCGCCGTCCCCTTCATAGAAATTGGAGGAAAGCAAAAAATTACCATAGCCAGTATCTGTGACAAAAAGGAAACCTTGTAAAACTTTTCGTTAATCGTCAAGAGATATAAAAGGCCGCCCAAGATCGCGCGCTGTGAGTTACTGGTTACGCATAATTTTAGCTTTTCACATAGCGCTAATTTATTACACCCAGGATTTTAGGGTGTACGAAGGGACACGTGACCAGCCAATGCCAGGGCCTTTTCCCGCCCCACCCATTTTTTAAGAGAAAAGCCCTGGGGACGAGGTTGTTACTTTAATTACCCCCGCAGGCGAGGAGGCACTCTAGTAACTCGCGCGTATATTAAGGAAAGTACTTACAGTTGAAATATACGGTCATACAGTCACTATAGAAAAAATCTCGATTGGCTTGAACAGGGGCCGCAAGGAATCGGTAAGTAATGATGACGTTTCTATTGTTTGCGCCCGCAAGTACGAAATGGTTAGGATGACGTAAAACACAAAAAATCCCGAAGGAACAGCTTTACAATAGGTAGATTTTGTGACATTAATTGTGCAGTCACACTTCGATATTTTTTTTGCGTTACATGTTATCAGTGACATTCCCCGTAGAGCAGTTGTTATGAAAGTTATGGACCAAAGGACACTCGTTAAGCGCAGATGAAGTTATAAGGTGCGTAGAAGAGTGTATATTTTAACTCTAAGTGGGTTTGCCAGACACGAGTTCACAAATCTTTGATTGGAAACCTTCAGCTGAACCTTGCCAGACACTCTTTCTCTCTGTAGTTACTAAAACATGGAACGACCTAAAACCACCTAAAACCATCTACAACCACCTAAAACCACCTACAACCACCTCAAAAAATTCAACAACCACCTACAACCATCTACAACCACCTCAAAAACATCTACAACCACTCGCAAACAATCTAAAACCATCTAAAACAAGGTATAAATGTCTGAAATAAGGCGAGACGACAAAATAGTGAATGATTGTATTTAAAGTAATTTACCTGGATTTTTATATATACCTTTATTATGTTTTGGAACCTAACTTTCACCCCGGCCCTCTTCTTGG